GACAATTAGAGAGAACAGTAAGGAAACGTCGCACACTGGCAATATATTGAATAATTAAAACACCAACTTGATACCTTCCTATAAGTAATATACTCTCTTTATTCCTTCTCTTCGACAGAAAAACAGATTAGTTCCTACTTATATATATATATATATATATATATATATATATATATATATATATATATTATATATATATATATATATATATATATATATATATATAAATATATATATATATATATATATATATATATATATATATATATATATATATATATATATATAAATATACATATATACATATATATATATATATATATATATATATATATATATATATATATATATATATATATATATAATATATATATATATATATATATATATATATATATATAAGGTAAATAAAGTCTTTCACATGAAAACTCATCAAATTATTATATGAATATTCTTATTTCATTCTAGTTGTTATTTAGAGTTCTATTAAAATGTAACAGTGTTTTAAGAGTAGTATATTTGTTTCATCCCTCGTTTTCTTTGCACAATTTACCTTCTCCAGCTTTGATATACGAAAGCTTGCATAAACACTTCAGTTATATTCTAATGAAGCTTACGTTCCTAGAGGCACCACATCTCGTTTGCAATATATTGTGAGTTTAGTATGAATAGCAAAATTGGTAATGTCCAATCCTCAGCTTCTCCCATCAGGGCTCGCCACAGCGGATCAAGCGTCTCCATAGCGCCCTATCCCATGCGTCCTTCTCAGGTACACCACACACCCTTAGGTCCTTCCTCATCACATCCATAAACCAGTTTATTCCAAATATTCCCCTTCTTGACTGGCGCCTCCATCCTTAGCATCCTTCTATCAACATACCAGTTATCCCTCATCACCATATGCCCAAACCAACTCAATTTTGCCTCTCTCAGCATGTCCCTAAATCATCTTACTTGTGATGTCCTCATAATACACTCATTATTTATTTCTCAGGTGATAAACACATAACTTAAGACTGTACAGGACAGTTCGACGTTAAGTTTTCCTTCAGTTACGGTTCTCTTTCAATGCCTACATCAACACCGAATATTCTTGGATATACCTTTACATCTGACTAATCACAATACTCTCCATCTCTGTTTCTCTTTATGTTTTCTTCGTGCCCAGGCTATATGAGGGTAGATTTTTATTTTTTTATTTTTTTTTTTTGCCTGTCCTGGTGTCACAATCATAAAAAACAAACTATATTTTGTATAGCATACTGGCCTCACACCTCTCTCTGGCTACTCCTACTGCTAATGGAAAAATAAACTTGTATAAAAATCGTCAAGGAAACTCTGCAAAGTCTGAAAGTTTAACCCTAGAATTCCTTTTAAGACTTAGCCTTACGTTTGTTCAGTATAAGAAATTCAGTTTTGAGAGAGAGAGAGAGAGAGAGAGAGAGAGAGAGAGAGAGAGAGAGAGAGAGAGAGAGAGAGAGAGAGAGAGAGAGAGAGAGAGAGAGAGAGAGAGAGAGAGAGAGAGAGAGAGAGAGAGAGAGAGAGAGGTATAAATTTTAGGAGCACTTTTCCGACCCCATAATTACGTACAATTGCTAAAACGTGGTTTGTAGTTACAAGATTTGCACGTTTTAATTCCGAAGTTGCTTAAAAAAATGTAAGTTCATGTAGAAGTAGTAGTAGTAGTAGTAGTAGTAGTAGTAGTAGTAGTAGTAGTAGTAGTAGTAGTAGTAGTAGTAGTAGTAGTAGTAGTAGTAGTAGTTGTTGTTGTAGTAGCTGTTACACCAAGTTTCTAATACACACTTTTGACAGAACCACTTACATTATTGCGTACCTCTACATATTATGCTAAAATCGTAAGCAAGTGTAGCAATATAAAAATTACAGTTGTCTTGGTGACTGCAACCTATATACACAATCACGATATGTTTACAGAGAGTGGTAAAGTTGGAGTCTATAGGCAAGTAAAAAAATGTATAATCTTTCGATCCATATTAACATATTTATAAAGATAGGAAGTGGAATAAAAATTTTAGCTCTTTTAAAGACACGAGGCAGAGCTGGGGAGGTGCCAGAGTTAAAAATTTTGCGGTATTCTTTGGGCATGACAAGGATGGACAGGGTATGAGGGAAAGTGCAGCCAGGGCGATTTCGAGACATTGTGAGAGAGGCGAGACTGAGATGGTTCAGACATATGCTCAGGAGGGATGAGGGGTATGTTGGGAGGAGGAGGATGTGGATGGAGCTTCCAAGCAGGAAGAGGAAAAGTAAGTAAAAGAGGAAGTTTATGGATGTGGTGAGGGGGGACATATGGGGGTGTGGTATGACTGAGGAGGACGCAAGGAATAGCACGATATGGAGACAATTGATCCATTGCGGCTCCATTCTACAAACAAATCAACAATTGCAAACATGCTAATAAAACAATGTAGGGCGAAGCACAATGACCACCATGCATAATACCTCATATGATAAAAATAAATAATAATATTAAGTCATTCTTGTACGTAATCATCTTTGGCTTCAGATTTCACACTTTCACGTGGGTCTCTAGACTTGCCCAAACTCATTTTTGTTGAACATTTCATCCTCAGCTAATCTCTTCATCTCATATCTTACATATGATGGATCCACCTCTTTTTCCGTCTTCCATTTTTTTGTGCCATTTTGTACTTTCATATTTTTTGTTCATTTTATCACGATCACCTGCTCCCTTTCTCGTAGCACGTCCGTGTGCCACATCAACCTAACTCTCTTGAATTTTCTTTGATAATCCTCCTTCGTATGTTGGGGGCTGCGGTAGCACAGTGGTAGAGAACGCGAGTCGGGAAGTAACTAATCCGATCCGCTCCCACAGCAGGGCGTTAGAAAGAGCATCCAGCCGTAAATTCCAAGCTCTAACATGTCTGTGTCCACCCCCATTCGCATGGGAATTAACTATGACACAATACAGTACCAAAAAATTCCCCCATTCTCATTATCCCTCTATATCTCTCGCAAGCAATAATATAAAAATAAATGCAGTCCTCTTCAGCTTTTAAAAAACCATGATAAGCAGGTCTGTCCTACGCCATGTACTATCAAATATGATCCAACCGCGGGGTATCAAGAAGGGCATCCAGCCATAATTTTCCAGCCCCTACATGTCTGCATCCACCCCAATTAGAACGGGGAATAAATATTGACACATAAAAGGTTAGTATCAACTGCCAAGAATGACCCTGGACAAATTACAGTAATCATACACATAATCTCACAAAAGAAAAGTAATTCTTGTTCATGATTTCTGAAATATGTACATGTGCCCTGTGGTTACAACACTCGACCAGGGAGGTGAGAGACTCGAGATCCGGCCCACTGAGGGGTGTTAGGAGGTCACTTAGCTTTAATTCTCCACCTCCAACCCATCTGTATCCACTCATATTGTGAGCATTAACAGAGACGCATAACAGACAGAAAAGGAAGAAATGAATTAGGATTTGAAGTTTTAATAGATCCTAATTCTTCGGTTAGGTTAGGTTATTTTTTTTTATTGAAGTGTTTATATAATTTAATATTTTGTGTGAAGCCAGATTCCAGTTCTTAATGCGTTCCCAAACAAACAAACAAACGTAATTTATAAACAGCGACCCCAGATGAAAGTAGAAGTAGACTGCAGGAAAAGAAGAGAATTAAAGTCTCTGTTGACGATGAGATCAGGTTTGTTTTGCACCATGTACTACGCCTGCTAGAAGTGAAAGGAACCGTACGACCTATTTGGCCTAAACCAAGGCCTAATATCTATTCATTCACTTAATCCGCAGAATCGGCTTTTTTGGACCAACTCCAGAGTTGTGTCGACAAGACATATATACAGCTCCTCCCTCCCCCCTCCCGTCTCAAGCTTTCCAGTGATTTTAGCGTATATCCGGGACCTCTGACCCATCCATATGGGAGAGAATGAAAGGTGTGCAAATTAGGGGAGGACGGTGTCATAAAGAGAGATAACAGAGCCAGTAAAATGGCTTTAAAATCTTATTTTCTTTTCATCATATATTATACGGTTATTTTGTGGGTTTTATGTTTCAGTTATTCCCCATTCGAAGGGGGTAGGAAGCAGATAAGTTGGAGCTGGGGGATTACCCGGATTAGGACTGTATACCCTTCCGAAATCCCTTAGCGGGATCGAACTCGCGAATGACAGGCTCGTCATTTTCCAGCTTACGCACTTTGCCACTTAGCTACGGCGGTTCTTAAATATCATATGTTTAATGATAATAAAATAATAAAAATGAAGCTTCTCTGTTAGCTGCTAGTTAGCTAGTTTTCGCATCGATTTCATACATTAAATAATACATACGTAATTTATATCATGAATACATCAGCCATATACTCCTCGCGTTTCCATACAATTAAATATTTCAGGCGGCACTCTCCACGAGATCGGAAAAGCCTGCAAACGATACAGTACCTATGAAAGTAAGGTCATGAAAATACTTCATGATTCCTTAAAGAAAAAGTGGGTAAATGTATTAGTTATGGGTAAATATTTAGAATCAGGAGAAAATATACACTAGGGTTGTATAAATCTTCATTTCTTTTTAACATCCTGATATTAAGCAATCTCAGCATATATATATATATATATATATATATATATATATATATATATATATATATATATATATATATATATATATATATATATATATGTGTGTGTGTGTGTGTGTGTGTGTGTGTGTGTGTGTGTGTGTGATTACCTAATTGTGATTACCTAATTGTGTTTACGGGAAAGAGCCCAAAGCTCGTATCTTCCCGTCTCCTGATCGGTTCCATTTTAGACTTAGTGATACTTATCATACCTGTCCTTAAAACTATGGATTGAGAATTGTTGTCAAAATCATATTAACTCGTGTCGTTTTATTTAGTACCGTTTTAAGCATCAAAATTACTCCCCATTCAATTGGGGGTGGACACAGGAAAGTTGGAGTAGGGAAACTAAGACTGGATGCTCTCCTAAACGCCTTACGGTGGGCTCGAACCCCCGGTAGTTGATTCTCTACTAGTACACTCTACCACTGAGCTACCACGGCTTTTCACCATTCCTTTTGTCCAATACTTTAGTACCACTCCGTGATTCAGCTCTCCAGAATATTCAGTTGTGTAGTAAGTAGCGCCTTGGCACAGTAATTATGTGTCCTAGGTTCGAGTCCCGGTCGGAGTAAAATATGATTAATTTTTTCACATATGGTAATGTGCTTATTTGGTTATTGTTGTTCCCTAATTAGACTGGAATTTGAATTAAATGTGAAAATGAAGCCACGAGTGAGGTTGGGAGACTGCATTATGAACAAAAAGACATTCAGATAGAATGCGTTCATCCCTAGTTTAGCAATTACACTGTAAGGGTGGTTTCTCTTTTATGACCTTCAATGGCGTAGTTGGTAGTGCATTGGCACAGTAATTATGTGTCTTAGGCTCGAGTCCCGTTTGGGGTAAAATATGATTCATATATATAAAAGAATAGCCCCAACGTATTCCCTGCATGTCGTAAGAGGCGACTAAAAGTGGATGGGGTGAGGGGACTGGGAATCCCCCCTTGTATTAACCTCCCGCAAGACGTCAAAGAAGAAGGGGAGTAGAGGGGAGAGTAACTTCTCCCCAAACTCTAGGTTTGGGGAGTCTAAATGTGCGTTGTTGTAGTACGATAGAGAGCAAAAGATGTGAGATTGGATATATGTTTGGTAGGAGGAGGATGGATGTATTGGCATTGTGTGAGACGAAGATGAAAGGAAAAGGGGAAATGGCATTTGGTGAGGTGACAGGTAGAGTGTCTGGGGTTGAAAGAGGGAGAGCGAGAGAAGGTGTGGCACTATTGCTTAGTGAATGGGTAGTAAATAAGGTAGTGGAATAGAAAGAAGTGTCATCTAGGCTGATGTGGGCTAGGGTTAGCATGGGTAGGGATTGTTGGGCTTTTTTTAGTGGGTATAAGCCAAAATGTGAGAGAAGTGAGGAAGAGCGGGATGAATTCTGGAATGAGTTAAATAGGTGTGTGGATGATCTGAGTACAAGGAACTATGTAGTTGTGTTGGGTGACTTGAATGCCAGAGTGGGTGATGGAGAGGTAAAAGGTGTTATACGAAAGTATGGGGTACCAGGTGGGAATAAGAGTGGCGAGACACTGTTAGATATGTGTGTGGAGCAAGAGTTGGTGATAGGTAATAGCTTTTTCAAGAAGAAGTTAATAAATAAGTATACATGGATGAAAGTGGCAAATGGAAGAGTGAAAGAAAGAGCATTGATGGATTATGTGTTGGTAGCAAAGAGAATTATTGGTAGAGTGAAAGATGTGCATACATTTAGGGGTGTAGGTGCTGGGATGTCTGATCATTGTTTAGATAAAGCAAAAGTGGTAGTAGCAAAAGAGTGGGGAAATAAAGAGGGGGATGTAGAAGGGAAGTGATAAAGGTGGTAGAGTTGAAAAAGTCAGAGAAGAGACAGGAATATCAGGACAGGTTGAAAGTAGCAAATGACAAGGTGAAAGAAAGAGAAGTTAGAGGAGTTAGAGGAGAAATGGGGGTTGATGAAAGGTTTTGTGAGACATGCAAGTGATGTGTGTAGCAAGAGGTTTGTTGGAGGTGGCATAAGGAGGGGCAGTGAGTGGTGGATTGAAGGGGTGAAAATAAAGGTGGAAGAGAAAAAGAGTTTTTTTTTTATTAATGGCTGCAGTGTAACAGCAGAGAGAAGAATGAAAGATATAGGGAGAAAAATGTGGAAACCAAGCGGAAGGTACAGGAAGAGAAGAGTTTGGCAAATGTTGGGTGGGGACAGGATGTTAGTAGGTCATATGAGGAGAATAAAAAGAAGTTTTGGGAAGAATTGAAGAGAGTAAGGTAGGGTCGATCGAGGATGGAAGAGATAGTGAAAGATGTGAATGGACAGATGTTAAGAGGAATGATGCAAGGAAAAGATGGGCAGAATATTTTGAGGAGTTGCTGAATGTTGAGGAAGATAGAGAGGCAGCTATAGTGGTAGTGGGGGGTGTTCAAGTGCCAGTAATGGGAGATGAAAATGAGAGAGAGATTACAAGAGAGGAGGTGAAAAGGGCATTGGATGAAACGAAAGCAGGTAAAGCACCTGGAATGGATGAAAGAGGGGGGTGTGATTGCATTGGAATAGTTAGTGAGAGTGCTTAATATATGTTTTATGTTGTTAATGGTGCCAGTGGAATGGGTGATTGCTTGTATAGTGCCCCTATACAAAGGTAAGGGAGATGTGTATGAATGCAGTAATTTTAGGGGTATAAGTTTGTTGAGTGTGGTAGGAAAAGTGTATGGTAAGATACTGATTAATAGGATTAGAGATGAGACAGAAAATGTGATCGCGGAAGTGCAGTGGTTTTAGAAGAGGTAGAGGTTGTATAGATCAGATTTTTATAGTTAGGCAGTTATGTGAGAAATATTTAGCAAAGGGTAAGGATGTGTATTTTGCATTTTTGGATCTGGAGAAAGCATATGATAGAGTTGATAGAGAGGCAATGTGGAATGTTTTGAGGTTATATGGAATTGATAGTAGACTGTTGCAAGCAGTGAAGAGTTTGTATGAGGGCAGTAGAGATTGTGTTAGGGTAGGGCATGAAGTGAGTGAGTGTTTTCAAGTGAGTGTGGAACTGAGAAAGGGATGTGTGATGTCACCATGGCTGTCCAATTTGGATATTGATGGAGTCGTAAGAGAAGTGAATGAGCGAGTGCGTGGTCAAGGTTTGAGAATTGTAGATGGGGATGATAACGAGTGGGAGCTGAATCAGTTGCTGTTTGCAGATGATACTGTGGTGGTGGCAGATTCAGAGGAGAAGCTGTGTCAGTTAGTGTCAGAATTTGGAATGGTGTGTGAGAGAAGGAAGTTGCGAGTGAATGTGGGAAAGAGTAAGGTTATGAGGTGTAGAAGAAATGAGGATGGTGCTGGATTGAATGTTATATGGAATGGAGAGACACTTGAGGAAGTTGATCGGTTTAAGTATTTAGGCTCGGTTATAGCTGCAAATAGTGGAGTGGAAGCAGATGTGTGTCACAGAGTAAATGAAGGATGTAAAGTGTTAGGTTCGTTGAAAGGAGTGATGAAGAATAGAGGGTTGGAAATGAATGTTAAGAAAGTTTTGCATGAGAAAGTGGTTGTACCAACTGTGATATATGGATCAGAGTTATGGGGTATGAAAGTAAGTGAGAGACGGAAGCTAAATGTGTTTAAGATTAAATGCCTGAGGAGTATGATTGGTGTATCTTGGTTGGATAGGATTAGGAATGAAGTGGTGAGAGCGAGAACGGGTGTGAGGAGGGAATTGGCAGCCAGAGTAGATATGAATGTTCTGAGATGGTTTGGCCATGTGGAGTGGATAGATGATGGAAGATTGCTGAAAAAGGTGATGAATGTGAGAGCTGATGGGGGAAATGCTAGAGGGGGGCCTAGGTTTGGGTGGATGGATGGAGTAAGGAGAGCCCTGAATGATAGGAGGATGGATGTGAGGGAAGCAAGTGAGCGTGCTAGGAATAGGAATGAGTGGCGAGCGATTGTGATGCAGCTCTGATGGGCATCTGCTGTTACGACGGGGCTGCATCTTACAGAGATAGCCCTGTGGTAGGGGCAGTAGGGGAGTTGGCATTATGGAGCGACACAGGTTGTGGAAGAGCCGGGAGGATGGGCTGTGGCACTCCAGCAGTGCCATCTGAACGGTCGCTAGCTCCCTCGTCATTACCCATACAGCAAAGTAATCCCTTTATAGTTTTTTTATGTCTGCTACCCCCCATATTATAGAGAGAGAGAGAGAGAGAGAGAGAGAGAGAGAGAGAGAGAGAGAGAGAGAGAGAGAGAGAGAGAGATGTTTAGCGCCATAATTATAATCAGTTCTTCTATAAGTTGATAATTAGGTTAGGTTAGCTTAATAAGATTAGGTCCGGTGGACTGTGGGCAGAGCTGCTAGTTAGAAAAAAAATAATTGATTTACAAAGTGGGATGTGGTTATTCTGTTGAATTTCTAAATGAGACGTTCAAATTTTATTGCAATTTCCATTATATATGAGGAGTATAACTAAAAAGAAAACTGACAAAAATTAATATAATAATCTATCATATTATATAGTAAATCATTGCAATAACTAGATTTCATTGCCCAAATCTACAGAGGCTTTCATTTCTAATAATACCGCATTAATTAATCCAAGACTAAAAAGGCGTGTGATGGAACATATTGTTATATTAGTATATTTCGTAATAATGTGGTTGAGTTCAACCTTCACGTACGCTAAATATACCTGAATATACTCATTATATATTTTAATATATATGTGTCATCTTGGTTGTTATGAATTAACCACAAAAAAATATGTAACCTCACCTTGAAAGGAAGCAAGATGGACTGCATATGAGTGGCATAGGCTTATGTCGGCCTATCGAGTTCATTGTTCTTTGCTTCAAGGACTACCCATATCCTTGACACGCCATACTGAGCATATTCAAGGCCTACGAGCAGGCAAGTATGTAAAAGCTGTTGTGTTTCGTCTTCCTGGTTAATATTTCAATAAAAACGGGACTTTACATCTTCGCAATTACCAAGGAAGCGGCCCATTCATCGAAGATTTTAAGCTTAACGTAAAACTCAAGAATAATCTCCAATATAATTGATAAATTATGAAAATATCCGTACACATTTTTTACTTCAGTATTCCTCGCAGTTGCTTAGACAATTTTTTTAATGTTAACATCTACCAGTATAGTCAAGTGATATTGTTGCGAAATAATAATAATAATAATAATAATAATAATAATAATAATAATAATAATAATGATAATAATAATAATAATAATAATAATAATAATAATAATAATAATAATAATAATAATAATAATAAAATCAACATATATATATATATATATATATATATATATATATATATATATATATATAATATATATATATATATATATATATATATATATATATATATATATATATATATATATATATATATATATATATATATATATATATATATATATATATATATATGCATAGAGAGAGAGAGAGAGAGAGAGAGAG